GGGAATGGGCTCCCTGGCACTGTTGATCGTGTTCCTGTGTGCTCTATGCCTCTTCTGCCTAGGTAAAATGCTCCGCCAACAAAGGCGTGATCGAGCACTTATAGCGCAAGCATTTGCCGCTATTGAAATAGGACAGTCGCCAGAGATCTGGCTCACGGCTTTGGGCAAACCCTAATGGCAGGATGACAGCATTGTTACTGCACTCGGGACCCCTGAAAGGGACGCCCTGAGGAGGGCATGACCAGCTGCATATGGGTTGGTACCGCTATTTCCCATCCCCAACAAATCGGTGCTGGACAGGTGGGTAGTCGGCTCAATGTCCCAGAACATGGAGCAAATTGCCTTACATGGTCCTCACAATATCTGGGGGCTGTGTCCTCTACCCTCTCCTGCTTTAAAGACAAAAAAGGGGGAACTGTGGAGCGCCCCCGCCCATCGCCCTCAGCACCTATTTCAAAATGGCGCTCAATGGAAGCCCACTGAGCGCTCAAAGCAGTAAACAACTTTAAGGAAGTAGGGCAGTGGGGAGCGTGGAGAGCACGGGAACACCACATGCAACCAATCCTCTTTCGAGGACTGGCTTCCGTGCACGTGGACAATTATCTGATTGGCTAAAAGGACCTTTTAAAACCACCGGGGGAGGGGGAAGAACTTCTGTAACATAGCCTGGGGAAATAAAGTGCTGAAGAGAAGACCGTCTCCGGAGTCGTCAGTTGCACGACACCCACCAGCAGGCCTATGACCTCAAGTTTCGAGGACTGGTCAAGTATTTCACACATTGTCCTCAACTGAGATCTGTCTGTCTGTCTTCTCTTAGACTGGGTTACGTGGTTTGAGAAGGGAGAGGTAAAGTACCAGTCTAATTTCATCCTAGCAAGGGTACATACTGTCAATATGATTTACTGTTTTAAATTCATTTTTATTTATGATGGAGGGTGCAAGCCCAGTGGGGGCAGTGGGGAGCACTTTCGACAGAGTCTTGTCACACACCACAAACCCCTTTCCTCAGCCCTCCAGCTCATCAGAATTCTGGGCACACATTCATGCACCTGGCATGTTTTCAAGCTGACCCAGGGATTCAAATCCACAGTCAGCCATGTGGCTTCCAGTCCTGCAGTTCAGTTTGCAACTATATGCACCAAGCTGGGCCTCATTTATTGATATCAGCCTTGATCACCTGGCTGACAGTGTTTGTCAGGTTTCTTCATTGAAAAATCACCCCCCCCTCCGAGTGCACTCTAAGGATTCAATCATCCATACCTAGAGGAAGAGTTAAGAGCCAGTTGTCTGTAGCCTAGTGGTTATGGTAGCCAGATCCCACACAGTCAAATGTTCAGTTCAAGTTCCAGCTCATGGCCAGGTGCACATGCCTGACACGTGAGTGTGCATGCTCCAAATCCTGACAGGGTGGAGAAATGAAGAATTGCAGTGTGACCATTCCCCACTGGGTGTGTGTGTGTGCATTTTCCCTCTCCATCTCTGGTGAGTGCATGCGCTATGGCAAATTAAAGGGGGGGACAGAAGGTGGCATAATGGTTAAGGCACTGAACTCCCACATGGCTGACTGTAATTCAAGCCCTGGACCCAGAGGCTTGAAACACGCAGGGCACACATTTGTGCATTCCCCAAATCCCGAGAGAATGGAGAAGGGATTGCAGCATGGCCATGGCCATACCCCCTGGGAGGTGATAAACGTACACGCCCTTAACAAAAATCTTTTTTTTTTTAAAGGAGGGGAGACATTGAGTCCCTTGAAGACAGAATGGCTACAGAATTACTTGTAGTTTTGTACGAGAGACTCCCATATTCCCCTCTTTGGGTAAAATCCAATACCATACTATGCTATTTATTTATTGTTCCAAATGTTTTCAGCTTTGGTCACTAGTTTGATCTGGTGGCTCCTATGACACCTCCTCCCACCAGTGAACGTTTTTTTTTGTTTGTTTGTTTGTTTGTTTTCCCTAAAAAGGTTCTTACTTGTCAGCACTACAGGGTGCTTCAGACTCATCTCAGATGTTTCCTGCCCCAGCCCTAAAATCACCTTAGTACTACTTTTGCAAGTTTGAAAGGTTTCCCACAAGTCTGCAATTATTTCAACATTTAGTGAATCACTCCACTGCTTTAGAAAGCTATTGGACATGTACGAAAGTCCTGGGATAGAGAAAAGTGTTAAAGCATGATGGATCATTAGGATTTATTGTAGCACTGCTGGCACAAAACAAGTCAAACCAAGTGAGTCCCTGTCAAAAGGAACAGTTGATTCAGCTGAGCTGCATCCATCCTATGGAACCTGGCAAAACCACCGGGAGGCACAAGGTGGCCATGTTCATAAGGCGCTTCCACGATGAGCTGAAGGAGAATCTCGTCCCATCAACAGCCCAGCTCGGCCCCCTAACGTAGGGCTGGGAGAGATGTGGGTAAAAGTAGCAGGACAGAGTCAACCAGTGGCATAATGGTCAGGGCAGCCGGCTGGCTATGTGGTTCCAGTCCTGGATGTGGAGCTAGGCATATGAGCATGCATGCCCCAAAGCCCAAGAAGAACATGGATAAGGGATTACTGTGTGGCAATTTCTCACTCTCTCTCTCTTTCTAAAGAGTACTAGGCACTCAACAAAAAAATTTTTAAATAATACAAAAAAATGTGCAGGACACACCCCAGGATCGTGACATCAACTGGGAGGGAAGGTTTATGCAAAAGGAAGAAACACCTTCTTGGGAGGTAATGTATCAGAATGAGCCCTCAAGGCCCTGGGATTTGGAGTGATTTTTTTAAAATTTCCCTTTTCTGTTTCGCCTGTGATCTTCCTTACACACACACACACACACACACACACACACACACACACACACACAACCGTGTAGTTTTCTAATACACATCCCAAGAGACTGGTCAATCTATTCAAATTTTATTGGTAAGATTTTATTAAAACTCTCCAAGGCCAGAGGACCAGCAGTTAGTGTAATGGCTATGTTGCTGAACTCCCATGTAGTCGACGCGGTTCAAATCCCAGACCCAGTGGCTTAAACTCACGCCGGCACGTGTGTGTGCATGCCCAAGATCCTGAGAGGAGAATGGAGGAGAAGGGATTGCGGCGTGGCCATCCCCCCTGGGAGGTCATTTCTCACTTTCTGTCTCTCTCTCTCTCTCTCTTGTCTTTCTGGTAAACCCACGCGCCCTATAGCAAAAACCTCTCCAAAAAAAATTTCTCCAAGGCCAGCAGGTGGTGTTGGACTCCCACATGGTCAACGAACATTTGAGTACCAAACATGATGGCTCATGCCAGGAACATGTATGTGTGTGCACAAAATCCTGAGAGGAGAATGGAGAACAAGGGATTGCAGCATGGCCATTTCCCCCCCACACCCCACCCCCACCCCAGGGGAGGAGGGTTATTCAACTTTCTGTCTCTCTCTGTCTCTCCCTCTCTGTCTCTCCATAAGAGTACCTGATAGCTTGAAAAACATGCTAGATTCGTGTATGTGCCTGAACTACCAACAGGTTGGAGAAATAGAGAAGAAACTACATTGTAACTTGGGGCGGGGTAGGGAAGGTGTTGTGCTTTCTTCTCTCTCTCTGACAAGGGCAAGCCAAGCACCTTTGGCAATTAGAAGGAAAAAAAAGTGTGTGTGTGTATATAAACCCTCCCACCTCAAAATTCCTTTTTGGGAAAAGCTCTACAAAAATAAGCAGCACCAGGGCACCTAAGCATATGAAAGGGCCTCCAAAAGTTCATGTAAAGTGTATATCATGAAAACACTATGCATGGATTTCAATTTTTTCTACATAAAAACAAATTTGTACCTTAATTTCACTTTTCCTTGAACTTTTCAAAGACCCTTAATACATTCAACTGAGGGAAGCAGCTGATTAAAGGTTGGGACCCCATGGTGGAATATGAGACCACCTCTAAAAGAATGAGGTAGACAGGAATGTGCAGGAGTATGGGGGAGGCAGTGTCTGAGGCATCTGTGACAGTGACAAATTGTTAACATGGTCACCTCGGGGCAGGGACAAGAGGAGACTAAGGCTTTTCTTTATAGGCCTGTTTGTCTTATGACCACTGGGGCATACTTCTATAATTAAATCAAGTCCTGATAAAGTTAGAAAAACAAACAAAACACAGCAGGA